TATATGCCAAGCCCATATATATATATAATTTATATTTTGTATAGCATATTATAGAACATTACATATAATAATCTAAAATATATAATGATGTATTTTATATCATATTAATATACTTTATACAACATTTATTAGTTGTTCAGATCGTGCTTTGCCAGGTCCTGCGGAATAATGGAGTTGATAGGACTGACAAGTTTTTGTACCCAGATCCTTCCACCAGGCCAGGAGCAGGGTGCGTGGACCCTGTGCTGCTCTTTGCAGGGGCAGCCTGTCATCTAAGGCTTTCTGTGGGTGACTCCCCGATGCTTGGGGTGGAGCCTGTGGAATTTGTTCCCTACCATGAAGACGCTCCCCTGGTGTTGCCTGCCCATGTTTTCTTTCCTGGATCTGTAGAGCTGTGTTTACTGACGGGCTCGGAGCTGGACTATTACTTCCTTTTAGTCTCATTCACAAGGAGTCTTGGAACTTGGCCCATGTGATAGAAAGGACTTTTGATTCACAGCTCAGAACGCTTTTGCTTATTTTTGTCTGGTGATAAATACAGGCAGACATTCAAACTCCACCAGCATGCTTGGCCTGCGCAGTGCAGCAAAGCCAGTCAGCCAGTGTTTAGAGCGAAGACATTTAATACATGTAGACAAAGGAGATTGTATAAAGCATACATTCTTGGTTAACTTTCATGTCCATCTTCTCCAGAGAATGTCTTCTTTGTGCTATTGAGTAAAAGAAAAAAGTGACTTGAGAGAACATCAAAATTCTGAGGAGATAGTCAGATATTGGGAGAAAGGAGTTTTACTGGTTCTGAGGAGATAGTCAGATATCGGGAGAAAGGAGTTTTACTGGCAAGTCTCATTTTTAAGACAGCTGTGTTACCTTTAATTCACACGGACATCCACACATCTGTTAAAGGCTGGTTCCCACCACTCTGACAGTTAGAATTTTATCTCTTCACCATTAAGATTTCTCCGGAGAGCACAGCACAGCATCACTTTGACAAATCTGAATGGGAGGAGATGAACACTGCTCATTTCAAGAACCCTTCAGGGCAGATGCCCTTAACCAGGCTCCTGTTTTCAAAGACCATTTTCCCATCATCACTTCATACCTATCGTGTTCCTTTGCTCCTCCTTAAAGCTATATTTTATATAAAGTGGAATTCTCCCGTCAGTGGCACCCGCGCTCTGGGGTCTGCAGCCACGCTGACATATTATCACCCACAGGGCTCACACACAGTCAGCTCTAGTAGGAAGACTGAACAGCAAGGTTGGAAAAGCTCCACTCACCATCACCAGATTTCTGTTTGTTCTCAGGAAATCCCTTTCCCTGAAAGACAGGGGAGAATGTCTTTCTGTCTTTCTGAAGAAGTATGGATGGCTTTGGAGAAAAAATCATTCTTATTTGCTGAAACAACTTTGGCAGTTTGAGGATGAATCCATAATTACCAGAATACAAAGACTACCAACAGCTGAGTACAGTGCGGGCCTTTAATCTCAGCACTCACGGAACTGAGATGGGAGGGATGAAGGTGCGAGTCCAGCTGTCACTACAGCTGGAAGCCGGTAGCTGCGTGATGGGAAGAAGCCATGAGCAGTGATGGTGCACACTTTTAATCCCAGCACTTGGGTAGCAGAAGCTGGTGATCTCTGTGAATGTGAGGCCAGCCTGGACTACACAGCAGGCTCCAGGATAGCCTGGGCTATACAGTGTGACCACGTCTCAAGCAAACAAACAAACAAACAAACAGAAAAACAACAAAAACCATCAAAACATTTTGTGATCTATAGAGTAGATTGGTAAACCCGCAGGCTGGTAAGGATTATAGTTTGTGGCCAAAGATGGTCTATTTTGATTTTAACTGATGTCTGTAATTTTACTTGACTTAAAAATAATGAAAAGATTGATAGTATTACTACAGCAGCTGAGAATCATATGGAATTCACAGTTCAGTGTTTACTACCTAAAGCTGTGTTGGCTCAGCCATGACTAGCTGTTGCTTTGTTATTTACCACTCTTTTGTGCCACTGTGACGCTGAACCATGCGTGTAGCTGAATGGCTGTGATCGGGACCATGGGGCTGGCAAAGCCCCAGTGTTTACTCACTGCCATTTGCATAGCCTACAGACCACACGATTGCAGCAGTGCTACTCAAATATTTAATTGTCAGATAAACAGTTGGGCTATAATAGTTAATGAAACAATTATGAGGATCCGAATATATAAGACGGCTTTATTTTTTTCCTTTGTGTAATTTTTGCTTTCTTATCCTGGGAAAATTTCAACTTCATGATCGCAAACACAAAAGTTGGCACCTGCTCGTTTATAATTTAGCTTTAGGCTCTGAGATGCTGCTTGACATACAGTGTTTGCTCAGCAAGCAGCAAAGGCTGGATGGAGACTGAGGTGCTATGGGGCTGAAAGGGGTGCAGATGTGGAAACAGCTGCCGTAAACATTTCTTGGCCATATGCATTTATGCTAAATTCTAGGATGGCAGTTTTATCTATTTGCTTTATTTTTTCTTTCATTTAGTTAAATTTGCCAACATAACTATTTTACCTGTTGGTGAGTTAGGTTTGCATGCTGCATAATGTGCAAATCAGCGTAAACCTATCCCTCATGCCGGTCTTACATGGTGGGGTGGCTACAGACAACAATTATGTGCTGGATTAGTCTCAAACCCATGAGCAAGGGAATTCTGGATGTTTGCACCAGGTAGGAGTGATACAAGTCTTTTTTTGTTGTTGTTGTTTAGCGTGCAGTCTTATTTAATAGCAGCAAAAGCAGCTTATGAAGATCCAGGATCACTCCCGAGATACGGAGGAGGAGGCAGGTGTCTCACTGGTCTAATGTCACAAGACAAGGAAGTCATAGACCAGAGAGCGAAAGGTCTGTTGGGTTAACCACGAGTTAGCCCTGTTCTCTTCCCAAATTTCTGTTTGTTTATTTATTCGGGTGAGAGTGAAGGGGACAGGGAAACTTCAGAAAGCAATTTACTGCTCCTGGGCTGCAGACAACTGGGTTTTTCTTACTGGTACATTCTCATGCAGAACTTTCTTCATTGCCTAAAACGAGGAGACTTCTTTTTAGTTAGTGTTATAGTAAGGCGTGCATGCTCTTAAAGATGAAGAGAGAGACTAGAAGGCTTCTGACTTCTGTAGACCACTTCTTGCTTCTCCCAGGGTTGGGGTTGTGCAGGAAACAGCTGCCTGCCTGTCCTTCGTAGTGTCTGTCCTCTGAACACACAGTGTTAGGATTTAGCTACCTTTGCACACTTCCTTGATCTGGGATGAAAAGTGCTGTCTGTGAGTCATGTTTTCAAGGACACTGGCTCACAGCCTCTGGTAGTTCAGATGTGCCATGTGGTTGTCTCTGAAAGCTGCATGGTATTTTGTATTCATGTTTGGTCACCCTGGCCCGGCTTGTCTTCCTCACACCATAGACAGATGTTATATGGATTTTATTCTTTGTTTTAAAAAATCTGCATGGTATTTGGGGTATATACAATTGTTTAGATCGTCTTCCTTTGAAAGGAATTAGGTCTCAGAAGATCCAACAGCTTAGTAAAAAGTAATGGGAAGGAGAAATGTAATGGCAAAATTGATGATTTTTGGGCTAGCTTCTGTCTCTTAATTGTGTATCAGTGACTGTGGTGTATGTACTCTGTATGAGCCAAAGACCTTTCACACTTTACCCTATACGGTTGGTGAAATTGGAGAATGAGCTTTCTTTGGAACAGGCTGAGACAGGGACAATTAGAACGGATAAGTGAATGTGTTAAAAACTGTTGGTGTGCCACCAGCTTTAGCATGAGTGGTTTCAGCAGAAGACTGTCCACTGCAGATAAGCGTACCTCGAGACTCAAGCAAGAGGGCTTGGGTTTCTAGCGTGGTGAAGGAAGTCGTAGATTTCAAACATCCAAGGCCGTTTCAAAGGGCTTTCAGAGATTCCTGGCATGTCTGGACACTCTGCTTGGAATTCCTCAGGGTTCTATTGTTCGGGCTTGTTCAGAATGAGTTAAGGGGGCTTTTTAGATGCTTGTAATCAAGTTGTTTTCTTCAAGAGCACCACACTGACTTTTGAGTTATAAGCAACCCTAATCATCACCATCTCTGTGATTTTATTTGGCTGAAATGGCGGCTTGCAAGTGATTTAAAGCCTAAAATGTTGTTCAGTGGACTCCATCATGATCTTGCCTGTTGATGACTCCATTGGGGCTTATCAGACTTTATTCAGCTTAGCAATGATAGAAATTACATTTGTATCCAGTGACTGAGAACCAAACAACTCGAGTGACATTTTAAAAAATATCATCTATGCACACACAGCTGAAGAAGTGGCATTTGCTTAAAGACACTGTATGAGGTTATATGTGAATGTGTTACCTCTTCTCAAGAGTAGCACTGTTGTGCTTTTTCAGAAAAGAAAAACAGGGAAACAAAATGCTTCTCTTTTCTACTTTCCTTCTTTGGAGACTCCAGTAATTGAGGTGAAGCATCCAATTTCTCTTTGAAATTTGTGACTTCTAAAAATTCTCCCCACCCCCGGCAGCCTGATGTAGCCTTAGAAAATCAGACAGCTGTTATTACAAACAGAGCCCGCTCTGCTCAGACCCTGAATACACAATTATAAATGTCTGGATTCTTTCCTTCCTTGTGGCGGCTGCTGTTTTAGATGTGGAATGAAACCATACTAACTGGAGGATGGTTGAGTAGTAGTTAGTAGCCTGTTCCTGCCACATCCATGAATCTTGTTAAATTTTCTGTTCACTGTCTAGAGTAACTTTCCATGTCATAAGACTTATAACTGACTATGAGTATCATTGATCTAAAAATACTAAAACTTGAGAAGACACCGGGACCATGGAATTTGGTTAATAAATGTTACCAAATGTTCCACATCGGACAGGTGAGACAGGATGTGGGAGAGTGAATGACCTTCCCAAGGACACTTGCCCACTCAATAGAGCAGCATGCTGAGTGAACTGTTTGCTTTTCTGATTCTGTAGATGGCCAACCTCGTCCTTTCATTCTCTGGGACTCCTCCCTAGCATCTGCAAGCAACGATAGCCATTCTTCTGTGAAGGTCACCTGGGGAACTTATCAGCAGTTGCTGAAACAGAAGTGCTGGCTGAATGGCCGCATTCCCAGACCTGAATGGGGCTGCACAGGAATCCATCACCACGAGTGGTCCAAGATGGCTCTCTTTGATTTTTTGTTACAGGTAAGTTCATCCAGCCCCCTAAGTGGTTATCTAAGACTGACAGTGTTGGAAGGCCTCAAAGGAATCTCCAGCACCCAGAGTTTCTACAAAGTTGTAGTCTAAGTTCTAAAGTGCTATATCTGGCAAATGCAGCATGCATTTTTTTTTTTTAAATCTTATATTCTTCTTGGAAATGATTGTGAATATTCTTATTTTTTAAATTACTTTCTGAAGAAGTAATCTACCAGCTAGCCTTCAATATTCCCAGTAATGATAATTAGAATGTATTAAGTGGTTGGGGATGTGTTTTAGCATACTCCAGAGGTCAACAAAAGGTTGGTGAGGATGGGTAACTTATTCAAGTTCTTATACCTACCAAGAAAGAGTTCAGATTCCCTGAGGCCTGATGATGCTAAACGTTTATCTTCTTTCCATCCTCCCAAGCTGTGTTTCAATATGTAGGTGGCTACAGAGCTACTGTTTTTTTTTTTTTTTTAAATTCTTTCCAGTACTGCCCTACCTCTTTCTTGACGGGGTCTCACTAGGTAGCCCTGGTTGGCCCGGCACTCATTGTGTAGACCAGGACGGCCTTCAAATCAGAGAAATCTGCCTGCCTCTGCCTCTCAAGTGCATTAATGGTATGTGCTTCATTCCTGGCTCCAGTGTTTCTTGTTTTAATACTTTCATAAAGATTCAACATTTGAAAATAATACCTCTCCATAACTAAGTAACTCTTGATTTCCCCCCTTTTAATTAATTAATTTATGTATTCACTTGACATCCCACTTGTAGCCCCTTCCCTCCTGCCCTACAGGTCCCAGCCTCCCTCCCTCTTCCCCTGCTATGATCTTTTTCCAGTAAGGATCCCATGACTCACCTTTGCTGCACTTGGGCTACTGCTTCTTTTTTCTCCCATTTTACACAAACTGGTTTTTTTGTTATCATATCACTAAATAATAATTTCATGAGAATTTAGAACTGTCTTAAAGCTTTTCTGAAAACATCCTCCTTTTTGTTAGCTCCTTTTATGTAATATGTATATGACCAGAAGAAAGGAACTAGAAAGGATCAGAAACACAGACAGAATCCACCTAGGATTTAACAGAGATTTCAAGTCCAGTCTGGTGTATATGACACTCTGTCAAAAACAAAACAAAACAAAACAAAACAAAACAAAACAAATAAAAAAAGCAGAGAAAAAGCCAGCTCAGTCACTGTCTTGGGGATAAGCAATGTTGATGAGAGAATGACCTTTGGAGTTAGTGATCCAGAGCAGTCAGTGAGGGCTAAGCCAGTGGGCTGGCCATTGAGTGGGGTGGAGAGGCAGCCAATGGTCACCTGCTACCTTGAACAATGTTTGAGTATATCTATGAAGTATAGACAGGTTGTGAATTAAGTATGGATTGTCTTATTTGTAAGCTTAGTTTACATATGAAGGCTGTGAAGTAGGGCCCCTTCCTCCACACTGCATATAGGAGAACTGAAACACAGAGACTGTGTGTATCCTGAGAGCATACTTGCAAGATGACAAATTCACCTACTGCAAAATGGCTGGTACTACTAAAGACGTGAAACCCTCGGGTCCAGCACACATGACTTTTACAGTTAGCATATAACAACTGGTTTCAGCTTCATGCTTCCTTGCCTCTCTTCTTGCATTGGGGTGACATAGCCGTGTTCTGGTGAGTGCTTCTAATGATGTGTTTATGTCTCTGATGAGGAACCCTAACTTTGGAACCCCCAGTTTTATTCCTGGCTGCTGGCAAACCCAACATCTGTCTGGAAGGATATGTGATGTTAGTATTTTGGTAAGGAAACAAATATTCCCTACTTCCAAGATAAGACACATTTGTACCTTCTAGAAGAGTTTACTGTATTAACAAGCATAACAATTAGTGTAGCACAGGGCTGGAAGGATGGCCCCAGGGTAGAGTCCTTGCCTATCATGGGTGAAAACCTGAGTATATCCTCACTACCTCACAGACAAAACCAAACAAGACAAAACACAAAACTAAAGAACAAGCTTGGTGTGATGTGCTGAAATGTCATGGGGAGTTGTCTTTCAACAAGTGGTCATCCTGAAGCTTATGGCAGATAGACACAAGAACTTACCTATGTCAAGAAAAGGGCCAATCTCTCTTTAGATTATCTAGTGTTCTGTATTTTCATTCTGAACCCTCCCCCCGCCCCAAGTAAATCTCATTCTGTCCTAGGCTCCATTTATTATCTAACCAAGAAGAAAACACACACACACACACACACACACATGTTCGTATTATAAAAGTAGTATAAGGTATTATATTCCAAAGCTTTTTGCTTTTTGTTTCTTTGGAAGTGTCATGGTTAGGAAAATGTAGTATATGAAATGAAAGCCGGATCTATATCAGAATTGCTGGCTAAATATTAGTTCAATTGCTCTGAGATCAAAAGGGAGAAGAGGTGCCACAAAGCAGTGAAGAGAAAGCATTTGAGTAGAAGTTTATGTGGGAGAAATAGGAGCCTGTAGAAATGCCTGAGAAGAACTTGATTGTGACAATGTTTCATGGAGTTTGATCATCTTAAATAGGCCATTCAGAGAAGAACCTTTGTTCAAGCAAGTACAGGGCTTCCTGCCTTTGGGCATAGGAAGTAGCAATCAGGAAGGACTTCTTTACACAGTGTGTGTTGACTGTGGAGCTCCACCGTTCCTTACCCTAACTGAGCCAGAACAAAGTTCAGCTGATCCAGTTTTCTTCTGAGACCACCGGCAGCTTTTACCAGGAGAGGGACATTGTCTGCTTCCTTGAGGATGAATGTGAGCATATGAGATCACCACTGTGGATTTTCAACATGCAAAAAATATTCCATATGCCTTGAAATAATAATATGGTTAACTTACCACTCAGAATACACTTACATTATGCCAGCATGGTTCTGGGTACTCTGGTACTAAGCACTAGGATAGTAATTTAGGAACTCAGTATGATTGTTATCTGTGGTTTTATGAGGAATGAGGGAGCAGAAGCAAGCAGAAGTTTGGCACTCTTGCTAGGGTCACATGGGTAATGTTTACTAGTTTCTAGAGTTGGACCAGGAGTTCTGTCTAAGAATCAAGCCTCCAACAATTGCTACCTTCATTCCTCATACAGAAAAGAGTACCATCTCCATCACTGTTCCAAGGGAAAAATATAGGAGCTAGCTGTGTGCTTCTGTGAGGGCCAACCAATATCTTGATATCTATTGAATTGTTTTCTTGAAGGAATCATTCATTGGCTCCCATCTTCGCTCAAGGCTTTGTCCATTCTAACCTAGATGACTCCCTGTAGTACATTCAAACTATGAGCCAATGTGTTGGGTCTGATAGTTCCAGCTTCCCTCTTTTCCCCTCTGTGGGAAGTGGAAGGCAATGTGATGTTTCTTCCAATCATATGGAAGGTGATGAAGTCTTCCTTGCATTTTTCAGTTTTACGTAGCACTTGGGATTGAGAATATTATATATTCAAGTATTTAGTTTGGTTTCAGTAAATCTCTTGTTCAAATTAGTGCCATTTTATAACTTCCCTTATTGATTAAAAACCTCTGTATATTATGGAAAGGAGCCCTTATTGCTGTCTCCATCAGTCAGATTTCTGTAACATAAATGAAGAGCTGAGATGATCAACGTATAAAGAGAAAAGACTTATTATGGTTTATAGTTTTTAGTATTTCAGGCTGTGACTGGTTGGCTTCATTGCTTTGGGTCCATGATGAGGTAGTAGATTGTGGCAGAAGTGTGTGATGGAACAAATCTGCTTATCTCATGGATAATAAATAAGTGAGAGAGAACAGAGGGGGCCAGACTCCCATAGCTGCTGCCTTTGTTTCCTCAGGAAAGATAAATGAACATTCGTCATCTGTGATATAGCAAAGAAATGATCCACTCAAATCCAGATTGGTGAGCCAATGTGTTTAGTAAGCTCATAGGTAAATGGGGTGGAGGTGGGAAATCACTCACAATGGTGACAAAACTGCTACATCAGTAAAAAGTGCCATCCCTTCATGGGTAAAGCCTCCTGGAGGCTGCCTTCTGATGTTCGTCCTTCAGGTAGAGGTGTGCCTCTTTATATTCTAGTACCTTTCAAAATCATGTGCCTCTTGGGGACACGAGTGGGTTGTGACTTGGGGAGACATCAGCTAATTCTGTTCACCTTTTTAGGGCATCACTGACAGACTGAAGAATCAGTTCTACCCAGTCTAACTTTACAGACAATGAGTTGATCTGGGTTACTTACAGACACATAGATGGAGTTTTAAAGGAGCATGTGACCCAAAGGTAGCTGTGCCACTGAACAGCCCAGCTTGGAATGGGTTAGGACACATGAAAGCTGCACTCTTGGAGCTCTCTTTGTGACTTGTAGGCAGTTCCTCCCACAAAAGAGTCTCTTTTTTCTCTACGCCACCTCAGAGAGAGGCCTTGAGATTCCTCCCCTAAGCCTCTACCATCTCTGTAGCTTCCCAAACCTTTCCCACTCCCCACAGGAGTGAAGGTTACAAATCAGAGGGGATATTTGCCTCATCATGTGCTCCTTCCTTCAGCTCTAACACCATTTCTGCCACCTTTTCATGATACTCCCTGAGCTTTCGTGGGGCTGATTTAGATTTGTTGGCATTTTCTTCCATTTATGGCTGAACATTGAATCACTGTGCACAGAAACAGTCACACGGTCTCAGTACTTTGACCAGGTGTGAGTCATGGTCTCATAACAAGTTTCCTCTCTAGGTCTAACCTGACAGCAGCAGAAATCTGTGGGTGTAAACACAGGTACTTAGAAGGCAATTTGATAGGCATGTTGTAGTCCTTAACCAAACAACCCTGGAACCTATCCATTCTCCAGCCACAGATCTTTGCCTTGCTCTGCTTATGGCACCAGCAGAAGTTCCCTTTTCTGGTGAGTCTTAAATCAAATTGGAAATCAGTTGATTGAATCAGTAACAGTTGTGAAGGTCACATTTGGCAAGTTGATAATGTAGTATGTTGAGTCTGTAATTGAGCAGGGCTTTTG